ACCAACCCGCTCTTCTCTCTCCACATTTGAACACATTTGCTTGCATTCTCCACTAGGGAGGGGCTGCATGTTCGAGTCGAACATAGGTTCGACTCGAACATAGCCTGTTCTAGCGTTCGCTGAACGCCGAACATTACGGGATGAACATCCTACAATGCACTGTGCCGTCCGAAGCGGTAATTGGCTACAGTCTTGCACCGCAAGTCAGGTGCAAGACTGTGCCAATCAGGGCTCAGTACATGTGATCTTGGCAGCTTGGGACGCTGAACAATGGCAGCAAATTTGGGCCACGATCAGGACCTCCTCACGGTGCGCGGTGGCAGTGGAGACCAATTATAAGGTCTTAATGCATTGGTACTATGTTCCTTCTAGACTAGCCCGTATTTTCCCCTCATCATCCCCTTACTGCTATCGCCACTGCGCTACCCCGGGCACTATGCTCCACATCTGGTGGGCATGACCGATAGCAAAAAATCTTTAGCATAAAGTATTCACTTTTATACGCTCTCTCACCCGCCACACCCCCCCTTTTCAACCAGCTATAGCTCTACTAAACTTGAGGCCTGACGCTATGAACAATGCACAGTTCACCCTTATGACACATGTTCTCACCGTTGCTGAACAAACAATTGCGAAAGCCTGGCTGTCCCCCTATCTACGTTTTTCCGAAACAAAAGCTCGTCTACACACAGTATTTATTTACGAAAAAATGACAGCTAATCTCCACAATGCAATGCACAAATTCGAGAAAGTTTGGGATCCATGGATCCAGGGATCCAGAAATGTCTCCCGCCCCACTTCGATACAGGCCTAATAACATCTTGAAACGGTGCTGCTCCTTTAGATCACCCACTATTGTAACCTTTTACAGATAACACACCTCTGAACCTGAGCCTTCTCTCCTCCCCCATGTAACCTTTTCCTCTTTCTCTCCCCTTCTGGATCTCTCAGTTCCCCCTATTCTCCTCTTCTCCTTTCATTTTTCATCTTCTAATGCGAATATAGTGCTTCCTTTCCGACGAGATCCGGGTCATGATTGATATTTTATAGTTTGAGAAACCGGATTGGTCATTTATGTGCTCTTGATTGATGATTCGTCTACCTAAGACCTGTAGCCTGTAACCCCATGCTATAATTGTCTAAGCCACAAACCCGATCTATCTATGTCTTTTTTGATTATGTACCAACCACTGCGACTTGACTTGTTTTATTTTTTTTTCATTGTAACTCTGTAATGTTCGGATCCTATACTCCTGAAAATCTCTAATAAAAAGTTAAATGATAAAAAGATTTCAGTGATTAATAGCCCTAGAATTATTGTTCACACTCCAACGTTTGCGGCTAAAGGTAACGTGTTTTGTTTTTGCACTTAGGCGCACCTGCATGTGTTTGCATTTGTATGTGCGTATAAGTGGGGACTTTAAAAAAATGTTGGCATTTTAAAAAAAGTTTTATATGTTTTTTTTTTTTTACACAACTTTATTGCTATCACATAGAGGGCTATGTAATATCAATTAGGACATGACAGGTTCTCTTTTATGGAGATATCAGGGGTCTTTTAGATGTCACCTAGGGACCCCAAAGAAGCTGATGAAGCAGCACTAGAGTGTTGAAAAAAAGGTGGCAACCCTACTCACATAAAAATGCAATGTTAGATTATTTATCATATTAATGGTTCTATATATCTCTAAAAACCTGAGAGCATAAAAACATGGAAGCGGCTACTGATGGCATACCAAAAACCTCCTCTTGAGTGATATTTGTTATCCTGATTTCAGCCACTAGCCTGGAACAAGGATGCAGCCAGTGAAGCCTGAAAGTCTGAACTCCCATTCTTTATGCTTATTTCAGAATTACTAATGACTCACTAGATAGTGACCACCAATCTATCTGTCCTCTCCTCACAGGTTTACCATGTAACAGTAACAGAAGTTCATGTTTATATAAAACAAAGATATCTCTGATAGAAAAAGAGATCTAAAAGTGAGAAGAAAAATCAAGGATGGAAAACACTGAAGATCAACAACAGATCAATACACTTCCTTGAATGATCATAACCAAATGTTAAATACCTATAGCAGTAGTAGACTGTAGTTTATTGGTGACTGTAATGTTACATGGTATGGTGCTTTGCTTTATTTTAATCAGTTTATTTCTGTAGTCTTTCTGTCCTGCTTTCTTCCAGACCTACTGTACCTCCACTGAAATTTGGATAATAAATGTTACCTATGATGAAATACATTAAACCTTTTAGACTTTTTAGTTTACCCTAATGTATTATACATCATTTTCTTCAGGACAGAAACCAACTAAAGGAGCACGCGTGGAAGGCTGACAATCCTAATGCTTACTGAGGGACAGCAGCCTGAACATACCGCCTGAACATACCGCCTGCCGTCATACGATCCCCACTTTATTTTTACTGCCTATCATCCTTCTTTTCTGACTCACTGCATGCTGTCATAGGCTCTGCACTCTTCTAAATAACACACTAAACACCAGTAATTTCAAAGAAGTAATGTAATAACATTTATTGGAAGGTTGAATGAACTAAATCTCGCAGAAAACACTGCAATGTAGCAAAAAAAAATGCTTTGGTCCCTAACAAGTGTCAAAAAAGACAACATACTGGTTGCGGGGGTTACCCATTATTTATTGTACTAGCCAGCGGCTGCCCATATTATGGCCTAGTGGGTACACCCACCAACTGTTGCCTAAGTTCTTACTGGCTACCAAGCTATGGAGCCCAGTAGCCCCACTTCCCCAGTACTCCACCCCTTTTCACTTTGTGGAGAGCCAGTTCTTTGTCGTCGATGTATGGCACCACCATGGACCACCCAATTGATGATCAACCTAGAAGAAAACTAAGTCATGCATATTTCCCAAAACACAAATACCACCTATAACGTAGAAAAGGAATATCCATGCTTTTCAATGGTTTGGAGATGTGTTGGCTGGGAATCAAACTCAGGTCAACTGCTTGGAAGGCAGCTATGCTCACCACTATACCACCAACACAAGCAAACTGATTGCAGAGTGCAAAGGAGCACAGGACTCAGAGAGTGTGATTTGATTGTCTTATTATTTTGGTGAGCGCAGATATGAGAGCTTCAATTTCCCCACGCAGAGAATGACACTTCTTATTATATCACTTGAAAAGCATGGAAATTAAATGGTGTGGATCATTTGGGATCTGAACTTTAATTGTATTAAGGCACTATTGCTGTGTTTAGCACGGGTTGGACTTTTTATCACTTTTTATATAGAAGTATAATAATAATTATTTATATATGTAATTTTTTAATTTTTTTTTAGAATAATATTTAATTTTTATTTTATTTTTTAAACTTTAATTTGTATATGTTTATTTTTATTTATTTTTATTAAATATTTTTTTGTTTTTACTGTACTGTTGGGGGCTCTGGGGAAATATCAGGGGTCTAAACAGACCCCTGATATTTCCCTTTTACAATAGAAAAATAGATTGAGGACACTGCGCACAGGTGGCACTTTCGGTATTTTGCCCATTTTTGGTTGATATGTTTCAGTGGCCGAAATTTCAGTGCATCCCTAATTTTAACACTTTTGCTGTGTATTTTGGAAGCAGAAGAGGTGGAACAGATACCTAGATGGCTGTTTTACTTTCACCCCACAAGGATTCCACATATGAGGAATATATTCACCACTTGCATACTGATTTTAAATTTAGTAGAGACGTACTCATTAATGAAATAGTATTTTGTTTTTCTGAACGGAATAAGTCTATGAAATATATGATTTATTTATAACCACTTGAGACTTATTGAGACACCTAAAATATGTTTTAATATTAAATTTGCGGCATGGAACAATCCACTTGCCCTACAACCCCATTGACGCGTGTCCAGGGACATTGGATTTTTCTTACCAGGTGAAATATGTTGATAATCTCTAACTGTAAAAAATCATCCAAATTTGTAAAAGGACAAAAACTTGTGTAGAAATAACAACTACATACCGCCATCTACTTCTGTGCCATGCAATAGCATTAAAGCAGACCTTTACCCATATCTTTAAAATAACAGCAAACACATTAGAAATGTTTATTAATGACAACCTACAAACACATACTTTTAGATAATTGCAGGCTTTGTAAAAAAGGTTACATTTTTTATGTACCTCACTTTGGTGCAATAAGCATCAGATAATAGACATGTACATTTTGTTTCATTTCCAGTGCAAATTTGTACAAAGTTTTCATGAATTTGGACAATCAGATGCATCCGGATGTTTGAATTCCAATGAGACCAAAGGCAAACGAATCCGGATGTCATTTGAACGAAATTTTAGATCATCCAAATTTTGCTAAAAATTAAACTAAATCGTACACGTGACTATTTACTAGCCAATTAGAAAACCCATCAAAAACTAAAACTAAGCAAAAAGGCATTTGGACCCGAAACGAGAAAGAAATAAAATTCAGTAATGAAAGGAAACAATTTTTTTGCCGGCTTACATGTCTATCAGATAACACCTAAAATCTGTCATAACGTCACCCTGAAGGAGCAGATAAATCTACACCTCAACAACGAGTGATAGAGGGACCTTTTCTTTTGTGAATTGCATTACAAGCATATGTTATCACTCCAGTTGTTAAAAGAATATATGAAAAGGTAAAACAACAGCTGCATACAGTATGTAAAATAACGTCTAACACGGTAATTTAAAACATCTTAAAAATGAACTCTGATTTTGCTAGATAAAAAGCGTTATGGAGTTCAGTGAATTGACTACCTTTACAGAGCAACTATATGACGTGTGATATCAATGAAATAATGGGGGAAATGAAGAAGAAATGCTTTGTGTATTGACCCTAATATATTCTGCCGCACATGTTAGAATGTAGATATTTGGTATACTATGCAAATTACATGACATCACTTCCTATCAGGAACTTCCTCATACAATATAAAGATAGAGAAGATACTTTACAGATTATTTCCATAGTGTATAGATACAAGTTAAACCGAGGAATAATGAGGACTCTAATAGGCCTTCTTGTATCACTAACCTGGCTGTCAGGTGAGACTTCACAGGACAGTTTGTCTTTGATTAATAAATCTCCTAATGAAAAATGAGCTTGAACATTGGTACTAATGGTATTATATGTTGTTCCTATATATTTTCCAGGTGTCCTGTCTAACCAACTTGTCCAGTCTGATCCAATGGTGATAAAACCGGGGAACTCCCATACAGTGACCTGTCAGGCTTCAGGAGGATTCACCTCTGCTAACTACTGGATACACTGGATCAGACAGTTCTCTGATGGAAAGTTACAATGGTTGTGTTATATTGGCAGCGGTGGGGATACAGGCTATACTGAAGATATTAAAGGAAGATTCACAGCCACTAGAGATAATAACAATAACAAGCTGAAAATGGACAACATGAAAACTGAAGACACTGCCGTGTATTACTGTGCAAGAGATGCACACTGATGGAAAATATATCTTTACTTCAACAATAACTAGTATATCCCTTCTTCATGTTATCAGTAGGTGGCAGCACATCCATTTAATTACTGGTCACAATAGATAGAAATAGAAAACAATTTGGAGCAGTCTCTCTTTCTGTTAATATACTGCAAAATGTTACATGTTCCTTCCATTTCAGCTCTTAGGATGCTGCATATTTTGACATTGTCAGGAATATGAAGGTACAGTATCAAGTGTCTGTATGAAAACATCATAGTGTTTTACAGGTAACAGAGCAAAAATATCCAAATATTTCATATTTAATATCTGCGCTGTTGTAATTCTGATACTGTTTTAGTAAGCTTTAGCTTTAATAAGTCACTGATTTTTAACAAACATGTAGCCAGTACATCCTAAAAATGTTTGCCATTACTCACTATATAGTTACCAGCCATATATTTATCACTACAGATTCACCAGCCCTATATTTTTCCATATGGGTTAATGAATCATGTATTTAGCCATACATCTTTACTATGTTAAGTTAATTTTAGGGCACACAAACACAATATAAAACAATGTTTTTGTAAAATATAAAAGATCAGGTAATAACAAGTAAATAGATACCTGACATGCCAATGTTAAAATTTGCGTGCACCAGTGAAACGGTGACAAATTGTCCATAAGCAATGCTTTAAAAGCCTGTACAAGTCATCAGATTTATTGCTTTTGTACATAGGCACACCTGACGCATTGTTTTCGTGCGTAGGCACACCTGTCGCGTGTGTACATTAATATGCACATGTTCACAGGGCAGGGAAGTTTAACTTTTTTGTATTTTTATTTTATTTAACTTTGTATTAAGCTTTTTTTTTTTTACTGTTTCATTGCTATCACATGGGAGGTGGGGGGGGGGGGGGTGTTGTAGCCCCC